TGGACAACTCGACATGATCTACTCAGTGAAATGTTGAATACGGCAGCTTTAAATGCGTTTCCTTTTGTATGAAACGGATTGTTGCACGTTTTATTTGCCTCACAAAGTAGTAGGCTACTAATTTCACAACAAATATCTTTGGACAACAGAAGTTTGGGTCCCTGTTCAAATGATAAAAATGTACATTAAGTGTAGCGAAAGTGCACAATAATGAGTCCATTTCATCCATTTTCATCTATGATATACAAAAACATTTTAATCATCTGATAGAAGTATTTTCTGCTGTCTCATAATCAGACAGGGTAGTTCATGTATTCAGTTTTAAGAGGACATTGAGTCGAGGATTAATTTGTACTGGCGTTGATGTGACGATATTTCAGCTCTGAACTCTAAGTGAGCAAAATGTCATAAATTCTGCTTCATCCGAGTTCAATCTGCCAGTGCCAATCAAAACTATGCAAATGGTTGATCGTACACATTTCTTTTTTCAACAACTATGAGTCATCAAAGTCTAAATCAGCACTGTTAATATTAAAAACAAAAGCATAAACCATTCCATCTGGGGTGACAAAAGTCAGGTGCTGCATCTGTCATTTTCAAACCTCGTCAACAGTGAAAATATTGAGACAGTGTGTCACTGCTAAGCGACTCCCTGTGACGTTTATTTTGCACTAATCGTCCAGCACCGTTCGACAAGGCCAAGTCAGTCAAACTCAAAGTGTCAAGACCCCTTTGTCTAGTTCAGGGGTAGGCAACCCAAAATGTTGAAAGAGCCATAAAGGACAAAAAAACAAATATGGCGGGAGCCGCAAAAAAATAAAAGCCTTCAATAAAACTTACAATGAAGGAAACAGATGCTGTATGTATGTAGGAGACTGGACTGTCTCAGAATTGTTTGTTATTCATTCCTTTGTTGTGTGTTCACAAACGCCCCCATAGAATTTATTTTGTGATTTCCTCACTTGATTTTTTTTGTTTTGGTGGATTATTTTCGCTTTTCTTAGTGTCAGTGAAGTGATCATGAATTTCCGTTTTTCGGAGGCTGTCTTTGAACGCCTCTCGAGTCAAACGAGAAGAGAGAAGGCACGGAGTCGGACACAGACGTCTCTGTATTTGTCGAGACTGTTAAAAGCATAAATAAAGTGTACGTTTTAAAAAAACCAACACCACAGCTCTCCTTTTTCGGAGGTGCAACATGTATCTATATCTATTTGAGCTATATTAGCCCACTATCAAAATCTTTTTCCATTTTCAAACATTTTTCTAAAGCTCCAGGGAGCCACTAGATGTCGCTAAAGAGCCGCATGCGGCTCTGGAGCCGCATGTTGCCGACCCCCGGTCTAGTTTGTTGATAGAATCTACATTAATCTCTGTACTGCAGAGCGTAAAATCCTGTGAATAACACCCACCCTGTCCGTGTACAATACGACCCCACAAAAAAAAAAAAAAATACGGTCCCCTGATTTGCTGGTGTCCTTGATTATCGGAGTGAATGAGAATTAAGATTCAAAACATACTTATAACATGTAAATCCTTTGTAGTCCAGGTTAAAACGATGCTGTCGCTACGAGTCAGGTCTTTTTCGTCATGTCTTTGAATAGCTCGTTCTTGCACTGTGCGCTCTTTCGGAAGCTACTTTTTATTTCTTGACTTTGCCATTCACTCTGTAATTGCTTTTAAATGTTGTACTCTTAATTACAGTATGTGAAGCATATCGAGTTACATTGTGTGTGAAATGTACTTTTTTTTTTTAAACCGGTAATTAACAACCCCTTAGTATTGCCTAGGTAATGATAAATGTCTCAACAATGTGAAAAATTAATACCCCCCTTCAATTTGGGACAACAAAAAAATTTAAAAAAAAATAAAAATATCACAGTGTAGTTAACATCCATTTCATGCTGCGTTTTGAAATCACTGTTTTGGAAGAGGTGGTGACTGCTTCCGTTACCTTGACGACCGGACATAGTGTAGCAAGGACCACACTGTCTAGATGACTTTTCTCACGAGAACATTATTTCTTTATTTCTTTCTTGATTTTTGGTGTGCTACTGGAAATTGTGGAGACTCCGAGAATCCCCTGTCCAGACTGCAAACGAATCTCGCATCACATCATCACCCAGGAAGGTTCACTTGTAATTCCACTGGTGGAAGCACTTCAAGATGCTGAATTCCACTTTGTCAATTACCGTAGAAGATCGATGCATGAGGTGCAGGGAGCAGACATCGCTTAATAACCACCTGCCTTCTTAGCGACAATTTTTAAAGCCAGAAGGGACCGTTGGCAAAACGTTGTTTTCCCTTTTTCAAATATATGGACACTTCACCAAGGGCAAAATTCAACATGTGTGGATTAAGAGATTTGCTCTTTGTTTCCTTCTGTCTGGGTCTAATTGTCATTGCAGCACCACCTCAACTACAATTCAGTAGCGCGGTCGAAAAGCAGGGAGAGGGAGCTGGAGAAGACTGATCCCGAGAACGCACTTGGCCGATGCAAAGAGAAGAAAGAAGAAAAGGAGCGCAAAGAGAGGAAGAGAGTCGGTATCCTCATAAGACTTCATATTTGGAGAAAACATTTGGCCCACCTTTGCCAATGGACTTTGTTCTCGCTTGTCTGCTAGGAAATTGGCATGGGTGAGCGCGAGGCCAGCCTCGAACCCAAACGCAGAAAGGACGAGAACGGAACCAGTGAGTTGTGGCATTGCTCCTAAAAATGAAAGTCGAGCCCAGGTCAATTTTGGAAGACGATGTCATTGACGATAAAAAGTTTTCTCCTCAGACTCTGCGAAAAACAGCCAGTGCGAAAGTCCCTGCGGCTCGCCGCCTTCGGCGGAGAAGGAGAAGAGCAAAAGATCCAAATCTTCCAGCAAAGAGAAAGGCGACTCGGTCAAGCCCGAACGGACTTCCACGGGAGGGAAAAAGGTCATTTGCGCTTGCTTTTCCATCGCGTGCCTCACATATTGCAATACGTGCCCTTCCAGAAGTATTCAATTAATCCTGATGCGCACGCTTAATTCTTTAGAATTGTCACTCCATTAGTCATGTTTTTTAAGTGCCATATTTTTGGGTTACTTTTCCTACTAAAAAACAATTGCCTTTTTTTTTTTTTTTTTTGTTCCGATGGAACAGATTACTGGTATTTCAATTAATTTGTGACCTGGTCCATTTTTGCCTTGCAGGAATCCCGACGCGATAAAGAGAAGTCTGAAAAGAAAGAGAAGCGGGATAGCAGCGGAGGAAAGGAGGAGAAAAAACAATATCCTTAAAAAACCCCTGCGTTTCTCCGCCTACTTTCGAGACCGCTTCCTACTTTTTCTTGCTCGCGCGCGGCGACGTTGCCCAGCCTCCCGCCCGACACATCTGGAATCTCCTCCTTTGGCTAAAAATTGATTTTAATTAATACCCATGTGCTGCAGTCGATCTAAATAAGTTTATATAACGCAACATACAATTTTACAAAAATTGTAAAAGTATTATTCCTGAATATTTATTTCACTTTCAACCATTCGACATGTTCAGTGGCATCAGTGCTATACATACACATATAGTTCTTATTTTATTCTTTGTATTTTTGCCCTCTATGGACAATAAAAGCGGTATTGTGCTATGACCAAAACATAAATATAAATCTATATAAATAAAACATGAATTGGAATATTTCATATCACACACTTTTTATGCTGTGTCTTTGATGTAAAGATGACAATACGCAAAAATCTACAAAAATCGTAGAAATTGTAACATATGGGGTAACCCATGTGTTACAAACATCGTAGAAATTGCAGCACAAGGGTTACGAATCCGTCGCGCCATTTGGCGAGCGGATTTCAAGTGCTTGCTTTGTTGCCTTAACGCTCACACCCATAAGTCCTCTGACAAGCACAGATAATGTGCGCTGTTCGGTCAAGGTAAGACGCTCTCTTTCAATACGCCAAACAAACTGCAGCATTGTAACCAATCGCTGACGTCTTCTGTCTTCCCTTTTTTTCCCATATTTTCGCCAACAGACCTGGAAAAAGTGGGGCTTTTTTAGCCGCTAGAATTCAGCACCTCCGTTTGTGCTCTGTTGACTTTATGGCCAACCTCCATTCCTACATGTTTTTTTGAGGGGGGGTTGTTTCTTTTAATTAAACGCCCTCCCATGCCCCCCACGTGCTGTCTGCTGGACTTGCTACCGTTTGTAATTACCCCGCAGAAAACAGGTCGGAAAGTTTTTGCCCTGTTGACAATGTTGATATTTAGAGAAGTTACTGTGAGAGATGAACTTTGTAGCATCTGATTATTATTTCAGTAGTCTTATGTTTGGAAATGAAATGTCTTTTTTTTTTTTTAACATCTTTGTTTTGATTCATTTTATTGATGTTAATACGCTTTCCATAACCTCATATCCCGCCGAGATCATTTTATTTATTTAGCTGCGCCTTCTTTTTAATCCCTGTTAGACGATAGAGTAAAGTCAGAAAAAAAGGACCATTTTGTATATTGTGTACATTAATAAAGAAAGTAACCTGAAATTCATGTTATTTCTTTTTTTTTTTTTCCCCCGCCCCATTTTATATCCCCCAGTGTTCCTTTTGTGGTTGCATTAATCAGGTTTTACATAATTTATAAAATTTTAAAAAAAGGTAACTGATTTTAAAAATAGAATTGTACGGCATAAATGCAGAAACGTTGTTCTCCAAAATGGAAGCTGCTTTGGAGATTTTATCTGCTGTACTCAATGTGTTTTTTGTTTGTTTGTTTTTTTAAGACAAAAAAAAATAAATAGTTTTCATATAGTGTCACTTGTATGATTTCTTTCTTTGCTCTGCCATGATTAATCTCGATAAATGCTTTTTTTTTTTTTTTAGAATCTGATGCAGTTTAATTACGCGATTTCTAAAGATTTATGTTGGCTTTAGACAAAAATCAAAATCATCTACAAAGGCCTTCGATGAGGCCATGACAAATCATCTTTCCAAACTATTTTCTGTGGGTGTAGTTAACAACAAAACAAAGGGTGAATACAAACCAGCTTTTATTAAGGAAATGTAGTAAAATGCTTTATGACGTCTCCTCCGGTGCTCATTGTGTCAACGCATGCAGCTCTCATCTTTGCAGTACAAATGATTAAACTCAACCTAAATGAAATAATATTGGGCTTGGCTTCCATGGAGAGTGGCGGACTTGGCGAAACAAACACGAATGCCTTGTAGCATTCTCAGGCTTGTTTCGATAAACGTGGGTTGGCCTTTGCACAGCTGAATGACCTCCTCCACCCAAAACGAGCCAAAATGTTCAAATTCACCACCGCAGAGTCTGCAGTCAGGCGGGAACAGCGTCTACGAGTGTACAAAGTATAAAGCGTAAGCCCAGTCAGCATTTGGAATATCACGTCATGAATGGTCTCAAATCCTCTGAAAGTACAACATGGCACCAAGTGATACAAAGTCAAACTCCCAAAGTAGCGGCAGTTTGAGTAAATGCAGTCTGTCAGCTTCCCAGTCACTTAGGTTACTTCATGTCGATCTTAAAAATGATACCGGGAGAGGATGTCCTTTTTATTACCGCCACACCCCACCCCCCCAAAAAAGCTTAAACCTTAATCAACGCTCGTCTTAAATATTATGACACTGAAAAATCTGATAGTGAAACAAGAGAATGACTTCACCAAATTGAACAGTTGTACAACGTAAAATTTCACCACAATCTATGTCAAAAGCAGGGGTCACCAACAGGGTACTCTATGAAGGACATTGTCATTTCCTAGGATTGTCATTTGAAAATGCTCACACTAACAAACGTCAATGACTACAAATTATTATTAAAAGCGCACTATACTGTAAAATTAAAGGTCATTTGAGCATGTTTGTTATTTCAAAATCAAACCAGTGGCCCAAATGTCGGTGACCCCTGCTAAAAAGGATTCCAATCGGGATGATTCCATATCTTGTGTTCATCTCGAATATAAAAGTGAACATCTCCAGTGTTCCGCTCTTGATTCCACACGTTTAATTTCAAGCGAATGTCAATTGCCACGACGCCAAATGCTCCGTAAGGCACTAATGAGAGGAAAGGGAACCCCTTAGAAGTCCTGCAGCGTCACGGCCGTGTGTTTTTGTGACGGGCCTCGCAAAACGCCTCTCACTGTCCACCACGCCGGCGCGAGTGTCACGGTGGTCGTTCCCATCCTGATGCCAATTTGGGCACCTCTTTGTCCTCTCTGCAAAATGCAAAAAGATGGGAGTTAAGTTTGAGTTGCACATTTTGGAAATAAAAAATGCAAATCAGATGGATGAAGGCCATACCCTTTAGATTTTTACGCTCTCCATCCCATACACATTGTAGCCTTCACGGTACGTGGCAAAATTCTGGGTGTTCACCGGAGGGGCCGGTTTAAAATTTTGGGCGTTCTTTGCCAGTTTGAGTCTTTTGGTCTCTTGCCGAGACTTGTAGCAAAACTCTACGAGGGCAACGGTCATAGCCAGGCCCAGCCCCCCCACCAGAATATAGAAGACCCCTGCCACATTGCTCAGGCTTAGTGCACTTGTCTTGTCCTGGGGGAGGTAAAGACCACCGTTAAGGCTTTTTTGGAACTGGCATCGTGAGGCTGCAAAGCTGACTCTTAACATCCTAGCGGACTCTGACAACTGCAGTAAACAACTAACAACTAGGAAGGTGAATGCAGAGAAGTCTTTTAACGGCTGCTGTTTTTTTTTTTAAAAGGAAGGCGGTCATGGTCGTACAGGTCTACATGTTACACCCTCAGTTAATGACCTCAAACTAACTCCATTTTGCTGCTATTAAACGCCAAACAATTATATTGAAAGCAATTTATGTGAGTTTCCCCATTTGCAATGGTATCCCGTGAAACTCATAAAAATGTGCAGTTCTTATGACTATGTTGTTACAACTCATGATTATTTCGTAAATGTAAAAAAAAAAAAGAGCTCATTGCTTTTTACCGCCTGTTTACATTGTTGCGACAATGAGCAGCAACTTGACTATGTCATGAACATGAGCTCAGTGTCTTGATCGCTACCTTATTACAATGTATTTACAACTATCAGCTGTGACACGACCCATTAATAAATTGAAACGATATGAGCTCATTGACTTATAATCCTATGATATTGTTATTACAAAAATAAGGTGTGCCATGACTTTTTTCATTAATGGGAGAACATTGACGTATTATTACATTGCCATCTCACGATTAGCTGTAACATTTCCCTAAGGGATGGGAGAAAATGGAAAACCGATGTTATTACATTGTAATTGCAAATATTGGCTACAATGCTTACAAATTACATTATCACTATTACCTGCGACATGACTATTTTACTAATGAACGAGAGAAAATATTGATATGTTATTACAACTATTAGCTGAAAAAATGAGTTAATAGGGGAGAATATGCGCTCACTGGCTTATTATTATATCATTACATTGTTGTTACAACTCTAAGTTGTGACGTCACTGTTTCATTAAATGGTTTTGCATAATTACTACAACTAGTAACTGCCACATGACTATTTCAATAATAAATGGGGAATAAAAAGTATGAGCTTATTAGCTTATGGCGGTTGATTGCTACTTTTGTTTCTCACTGAGACAATCCCACAGAAAACATTGACTATTAAGACACCCCTTTGAGGTCAAAGTGGCATCTAAAAGTCAGCTGGGACTTTGTCCGGAAGTGAGAAAACAAGCCGGTAAATCGAGCTTGCAAACGCAAACACCAATAAATTCCATTTCAATAGCAGCCTGGATGATTAAATAGCAGCAGTATGGTTTCATTCCAGCCTTGCTTGATGGCATGAGTTCAAAAAGCTGCGTGTGTTCATGCTGTAACTCAATTACGGTCAAAAATCGTAACCTTGGACATGCATGACTCATGATCATGTTTCATTGTGAAGTTGCAGCGACGATGTCAGCGATGCAGAAATGAACAACCAGGCCACAATGCACTGCTTTGGGCAATCAGTATAAGAAGACCTGCAGCGACTGACCTTACTTCCTGAGTCCTTGGTTCCACATTCACCTTTATCGTACCACCATTTGTTTTTCAGCTTGTCTAAGATGCCTTGTTCACTGAGTTTCAACACTGCGAGGTTTACTGGAGTGCTTCACGTGGGAAATAACATAAATAACATTTGATGATGTTATTTTATGTTATTCAACTTTGTCAACGACTCGATAACTGTGCAAAGCGACCACGAGCAGGGTGCTGGCCAAGACGTGACACGTAGCGAGCAACGCTAAATCGGGAAATACATGGCAGTACACAAGTTATGTTTGACCTGAACCTATATAGCCGAGCGTGCCAGACCCTACCCGTGTCGCTTGGAGTAATCGGCACACACTGACCGCGACGCTTAAGTTAGCCGAGTGCGGACGGCTTCCACAAGGTGAGTTGCGGTTTCCAAAGCTGAAGGCTCCTTATGGCTGCCAACAAGCTGGATCAAACAGGAACCCTTTGTTGACTAACAAAATGCAAAAAGGGGTGTGACAGTGACACACTCAAAATTAAGGAGGTTTAGTGGGCGTTTGAGTGAAATTCTCCGAAGATTCTAAAATGCACTTGAACCTTAAACGGTGAACTTATTTGACCTCGAGATTTTTCTCCATTTGGTCAATGATTCACTACTCGTTACACGGCTTGCTGAAGATTGACACCTTTTATGCCTTTTTGTGACTCCTTCCTGTGTGGAGTTTGCATGTTCTCCCCCGTGCCTGTGTGGGTTTTCTTCAGGTACTCTGGTTTCCTCCCACATTCAAAAAACATATATGGCAGGTTAATGGAACACTTTAAATTCTCCCATGGTGTGATTGTGAGTGCAAATGGTTGCTCATCTATGTGTAGATTGGTCGGCAACTAGTTCAGGGTGTACCTAGCCTGCTACCCGAAGACAGCTCGGGTAGGCTCCAGCACGCCGGTGACCCTCGTGAGGATAAACGCATTAGAAAATGGATGAATGTTTGTGTCGTATTTCCGTGGCCGATGGTTGTATTTTTTTAAGTCACAGGTGGATGGGCGGAGCCTGCAGGACACACCTGCTTGGAATTGCAATTAACTGTGTGTTTAGGTGCCAGAAAAGTGGAAGCGAGTTGCCGGTATGTTCTATTGCCATTTTAGTAAAAGTGGTGACTACGTTTGTCATTTTATGTCTAACTCGACTGTAAGGGCCATTCATACTGTAGCGGTTCACATAGCCGACTTTGCATTTCATTATTGTGATAACAACACAAATTCCGTCCGCCTCCTCTGGATCATATTCAAATTTTGTAAAACAATGAATGACCAATAAAGTCATTGCAACCCACTCTGCAGGGTTACTCAATATTATTTGTAACAGTAGAGTTGCCAACGTGGAGTAAAAATCTTGACTGGCAAATTCGTTCAAACGTATTCGCGAGTACGTTAAGCTTTGGTTGAATTGGATTCACAACTTTACCCTTCATTGTGTCTGCAAGGCAACAAACACCCCTAAATGTTAACACAGTGCAGCATATGGACATACATAATATCACACGGTGACGTAAGTATTTCTGTGCGTCACATTGGAATTGAGTTTCTGTAAATCCACACTGTGACTGATTAGAGGTTTACATGAATATTCTCTATCCTCAGTGGTTGTTGTGTACAATACATTTTCCCCCAGGCATCAACGCGGGCATTTGTGAACAGCTAACAAGGCAACAGAATGGAGGCGCAATGTAGGAGAGGAGACGGCTCGGTTTGAGGACCCGCCCTCACCACCCCCGTGAGTATCCGTATCCTGCTTAGCCGGGAGAGGTGAGGAGAAGATGACTTGGGGTCGTTTCCTCTTTGGCAATTTCATTCTGTGACGTTGTGCTGCAAGCTGAAAGGAAGGCAGAGAGTAGCAGAGATGGTTGTGCGGTGTGACTATTGTGTGACCGGTGCTCACTGTCCGGAGCCTCGTTGGAGACATCAACAAAAACATATGCACATAACAATGTGGAAATTTGCACATTGGGGTAGTGAAATTTCCAGAAGTACCGCAGAAAAAGTCCAAGGCTGTCATGGTATTTTGTTGCGTGTAATTCCCTTTGTTATGGGTCAGTTTTACAGTAAACTTCAACTGGGACTGACAAAAACTGCTGGAAGCAAGTTAATTTGGTAATCGATTAGTTATCAATTAATTATTTTTAAACTTGTTCTTAAATGGTCTCTCTATATTGTTGTTCCAACTTGTGGTGGTTACGTAATGGAACGTATCCTACATGATAAACAGGGATTCACTGCACTGATGTAGTAAAGTCTGAGCAAAAGCATGAAATTGCCAGATATAATTTTTGCACAGTACCCGTACTGCATTTATACAAAAAAATAAATAAATCAAAAATTGGACAGGGATGTGATGGTGTAAATGGCACAAATGGGGCCCCCGGTGTCATTCTGCAGGGTTCCACCCACCACATGGGGCTGACCGTGGAGACTTGTGTGAAGATTGACTAAATGTGCTGAGCGTTACTTGTCTGTTTAGAATTCTCACGTTTGCCTGTAATGCTTCATCCCCTCAAGACAACGCTGTTCCCTGAGCCTGAACTATAGCGCCCGCCGGGGAGCGCGTGTTTGGAGGTTTTGAATATTAACCTTAACGATGTTGGCATGCGGTTAGAAAAACCAGGCTTCATAAACGCTTGCCGTCTTTCCTAGCCACACGCCAAACAACCCAAAAATAGTCACACGTCACTCATTGATCCTTTCTTCATGAGCCAAGGAAAGGGTTCCCACTTGATCTCAGCGGCAGTAAATAAAGAGAACTGAGATGAAGATTCATCTAGAATGAAGCCGCCGTTGATTTTGAAAGTGACGTCAGCCTTGCCGATTACTCTCTTTTAGGACACCCGACTTTGGTGACATTGAGGCTGACCTTAGAGTCACCTCCCCCGCTGCCGCACTCTCCTTTGTCGTACCACCATTTGTTTTTCAATTTGTCCAAGAGGCCTTGCTCATTCAGTTTTAAAACTGCCAGGTTAACAGCATTTCTTGAAACGATAAAACATAACTTGTAAGAAAAGGAACAGGTCCGTGAGAAATCTAATAGTGGAAATATAGTAAGTAATAATGGGCGTGTTAAAGATCAGTGGTTCATTAGGGGGAGCACGGAAGGGACAAATTGGTAGAGAATTTGCAATAGCGTGGAAAGGTAAGAGGCACTTTGACATCCATACTTAGAGAGGTGGCATGGAGAGTCACACTGTTTGAACTTTCACGACTCACAGAAAGTTAGGCTACATTCGGCTTTTGGGAGAAATTTCTGGATGAACCTCAAAATGCACTGGAACCTTGACAGGTGAACTTCATTTCAACCTTTTCAATGCACATGTCCGACTTTTCAGTGTTTCAGTATTCCATCCATGAAAATGTCCAAGGCAGTCCACTTCTATGCCTTTCTGTGATGCTTCCAGTCTCTCTGTTGCAACTTATTGATGATACGGTCAGCTCAGTGGCCGCTTCCCTCTGAAAGAATTTTGTTTGAAACCTCGCAATGGTGAGGTAGTGTTGCTCAATTGAGCCACAAGGAAGTAGAATTTTTTTTCCTGTTTTTAAATGAAGTACAGAAACAGCATACAGTGGAAGCTCAGTTTATGAAAGACCTGGTTTACGAGCATTTCTTTTTTTTATAAAAGTATAAGTACCTCATGTTGGTACAAGTTAATGGGCGGGCGAGTACTGATACCAAGTAGTGGAATTAGATACACGCCTTATTTTAAGGCAAAAAAAAAAAAAATTGGCAACGAGTAAATCCTCCTCAGCAGTAGTTGGACACATCGGCGAATCATCTGCGTCAGAAAGAAAGAACCTTGTTGACAATTTTTTTTTGGTCATTGCATTAAGTGAAATTTTATGTATAAAGGAACTAGTGGCGGCGGCCCGGTGGTCCAGTAGTTAGCGCGTCGACTTCACAGGGCAGAGGTCATGGGTTCAATCCCGGCTCCGGAGTTTGCATGTTCTCCCCGGGCCTGTGTGGGTTTTCTCCGGGTGCTCCGGTTTCCTCCCACATCCCAAAAACATGTGTGGCAGGCTGATTGAACACTCTAAATTGTCCCTAGGTGTGAGTGTGAGCGTGAATGGTTGTTCGTCTCTGTGTGCCCTGCGATTGGCTGGCAACCGGTTCAGGGTGTCCCCCGCCTACTGCCTGAAGACAGCTGGGATAGGCCCCAGCAACCCCTGCGACCCTTGTGAGGATAAGCGGATCGAAAAATGGATGGATGGATGGAACTAGTAGCTCGAACACTTGCTGTGAATGTTGCCATTCAGCTCCTTGTTAGTGAACAGCAAGTTGTGCGAAAGTACTGAACTATTGAAGAGTCAGACACATGCATTCAAACTTTAAGACTTCCTCTGTAAAGGTTATCGTTCATTTTAGCTTTGCTTTGAAATTTCACCCGAAAGCCCAACACCCCTAACGTTTTGTGAGTCGTGTATCCGGGAAGTGCGCGGGATGAGGACAACCATTGTTGAATTTAGCAGAGATAACATTCAGCATGCTGCTCAACATTCATCATCAAAAACTCTCGACTTGCAAATGCACAAAAAAAAAAAACAAAAACGTCAATTAGGAAGCAAAGGAACCACAGAAACAAGTGGGGAGGAAGAAGAGGGCAAAGATGGAGGACATTAAAATAAGAAAAGAAAAAGGTGTGAGAGAAGGGAGGCGAGAGTCAAACCAGACGGACAAAACAAAAGATGGACGAACGTGTGGATGGAATCGAAACGACTCAAGGTACTGGGGAAAGAGAATGGAGGAGTGAGTAAAGGTGACATCAGGGTGGGTGGAATACTATAACAACAGGGAGCGCATTGTTATATTATCCCACCCACCTTAATGCAGAGCCTTTGGGCGTGGCCACGCCGTAGCCTTTCGAGTCGAGGTTTCCGCCCACTTTCATGGTGTCGCACGGCTTGCGCTGCTCTATGTACTCATTCATTGTGGACTCCAGGAGAAAGGCGAACTTGCCCTTCGACTTTCGTACCCGGGAGACCCCGTCGGGTGTTGTCTTGGCAAACACCGACGGTTCCGCTGATTTCATGTATGACCACATTTTCTCATAAACGGCTATTTTGGAGCGCTGCGTTTGGGGAAGGGGGGTGGGGGGTGGAGAGACACAAAAGAGCGTTAGGTTATGCGTTCTCAAACATAACAGCAACAGAAAGTGAAAACTGAACTTAAAATTGCACTTAAAATTCATTCTGTTCCTCCAGGACCACAGCAGTTTTTTGTAATTGAATACATCCAAAGTCACATGACTCAAAGTTTTGCAATAATGTGGAAAAAGGGGAGAGGTCGGCAAGCGCATATTCACCTATCGTGTTTGTTTTTTGTCCAATGCAAAGTATCACTTTGGTGCCGTCTTGTGACATGTGACGCGGTGCCAATTGACCGATGAAGTGAATAGAGGATCTTAATTTCAGACAAAAGTAGTGCTTTGGCACCAACTTTTGGCTTCTTGGTTCCAAGGGACAATGTTGAAGTGAATTGAGGCTGAGTTGTTGAGACAAACTTGGGGCTTTGACACTAGCTTGTGGCATCTTGGTATTAAAGGGATATGATTTGAGTGAGTTGAGGAATTTCATTTAAAAAAGTGCTTGGCCACCTTCTTGTGGCATTTTGTGGTCAAAGAACTATGTTGTGGTGAGTTAAGGAGTTTCATTTTGAAAAATAGGTGCTTCAGCAACATCTTGTGACGTCGACAAGCAATTGTTTGGAGTAGGTGGCAATTCCGCACAGCTTTTCGCTATTTGTGCAGAGCTCGTTTAAAAGAGTGTGGACTGTTTCACAAAAATATTGGGTGTTAGTTTCAGATGAAATTACAACGTATTTTTAAACAAGCCAGCCAGGGCGATACAAATGCCCTCTGCCTAATTGCTGACGTTGGAGTACGTGAACTTCTGCTATACATGGCGGGGGAGCGGTGCTGCATTAAAGTGGGATAATGTGACCTTCTGTTTGAGTTGAGTGAAGAAGCAGCGCCTCAGAGGAAAACTTTTCATTAGCTTCGAAATGTCTTCAAGAAGCTGTTTGTCACCGCGCTGCTTCCGGCACGAGCGCCATAACCACGAGGCTGACAGACAGGCAGACAAATGACCACGTTCTGAATCTCCGGCGTATTTATTTTCGAATTCATGACATAATGGGAAGAACGGAGGGGACATCATGAAATGATGAAGCTCTTTTGTTTCTCTAAAATGCTATTTGTTATTCCGTGCATATTTTGCGTCGAAGAAGCATGTGAGCCTGGTGCTCACCGCAGGAACATAAATCACAGCAGTGCAAACCTAACAAATTGTGAGCTCGGGCTATAGCCTACTATGTGACTCATTCTTGCCCTTATGCGCAATTTTTGATCATCGCAGTGTTCACGTACTGTAAACACTTCTAATATGACAATAACAGCAGATGACAGTTCTGACATTTACAGTCAGACATTTATTCTTTTCTGCATTACATGGCGATGAATGCTTGTCAGCAGCATTTTTTTTTTCTCCTATTATTGCGACTGTACGGAAGTTTGCTCGTTATGCAAGTGGCCGGCATCCTTCTGAGGCATCTCAAAGATGTAGTCATGCCTTAATAAACACATCGCTAAATATATTAGTTGGATCCATTATAAATTGACTTATCTTTAATTCAATATAACAACACGGAGTGAGGAAAAAGTCTGTCAGTGACACACTTATAATGATAATAATAATAACCCTGTAAATCAGAATCAGACGAGCCAAATCCCAAAATGCTTCCGAAGCATTCTGCAAAGGATTTTGGAGATGTTCTCCAAAAGAAGCATTTAATTCGATGATTCACCAGAAAGCCTGTCAGATATATTCCTCCCCCTCAAATATTACATGGAACACAGCGTACAGTAGCTGATGTTCCTTTATAGTGAGTGGATGGATTTAGCATGCTTTTGCATGTACAAGACAAGAAAAAAACAAAATCAATTTTTACTGCGGACTCACTCCAAAATGAAAAGACGGGAGAAGGAGAAAGTTTCACCATGAAGCGATAAAAGCTACAAGCGGTTTCTTCCTATTGGAAACAGTTCAGCTGGGGTGAATTCACACCGTCGTCGCGAGCCGTCGCATCTTTTCCCTAAATTTAAGAGACGCCGGGCGCGGCGAGGTAGCGCCGACCTTCTTCCACACTAATCATAGCAATTGCTCCATGTCACTGCTTTCAGACCCTCAGCTCAGCCAACGCTGTTACAATTGGACGCCTTGAAAAATGGGCTGCAGAGACACCGGCGCCCTACACACCTTTCCTTAGCCACACGCGGACTCGTTCTTTTCCACTTTTAAATAAACAAGCACGTTCCCTGAGGGAAATTGTTTCCTCTATTGCCTTCTCTCAGGGGGGCTATGGCTGCTTTTATTGATCCAAGTGGGCTGACGATGTTCCCGTAAGTACATTGTAAATGTACATTTCAGGAACGATAGCAAGATTTCTCAAAATGCTGCAGAGCCAAGCAACGATCAGTCTAATGAGACCGCAGTTTGTATCTATGTAGGTAGGTAACATCTCGGGCGATGGCTAAATATAGACTCGGCTCAGAGTTGGATGCCAGACTGGAAAGATGTTTTCCATGGTACTGTTTTGTGACATAACGGCTCACACAACATAAAATATGACACAGTTCTAAGAAAGAAACTGTAATCTTATAGATGAAGTTATTGATGACGACACATCTTGTTTTACTCGATGCACGTCAATAGATTGACTCCAGCACTTACCCTAAAGAACTCCTTTGTGGAGCCTGAGTCTAACGTCCCATAGGCGATTTCTGTCTGCTTGGCCAAGTCCTCGGCACTCTCGATGGGAGAAACCATCCTCTCCACGGTGAGGAAAGCGGCCAGGTTGGCCGTGTAGGAGGAGATGATGATGAGGGTGAAGAACCACCACACTCCTCCGACTATGCGGCCTGAGAGTGACCTGGCAAGAGGAAGCGTAGCGGATGGGAGACGTAAGAGCACCGAGACACGGCCGCCGTTTTACTTGAACTCCTTTCACAGACTAATGGAGGCCGAGATAGTCTCTTAAACTGGCAATCCGGTGAATTCGCACTAGCTGTATATTGCGCTACAGTGCATCATTCATGTCCAGCGAAATGCTTTTTTTTTTAAAGCAGTCTTTTGAAGGAACCACCATTTCTTCTTTCACGAATGAAGTTGCTGATCGCCTACTTGCTTTAGCTACGATTGCCGGTACATCATTCCCCTCTGTTCATTGTCAGAAAAATCCATTTTACGGGGTTTTAGAATCCTTGCGGAAGAGGTCGGGGGCGTCGCGTGAGAGATGGATGGAGTCATGGATGGGGAGGACCTGACTTGGATGGCCACATGATGTAGTCACTTGACGGCGCTTCATCACTACGAGGCGACGATCGGCTTTCCCACATGAAATGCGTTATATGCACCAAGTTGATGACCGTAAAATGGGACATGCAGCAAAAACACGGTAGCCCTCCAAGAGTTCACGTGGAATTAGTTGGACTTTGCAATGAAATGAGCCCTGTGCATTTTACAGCCCTCAGCATGGTGAATATAAGTTATTTTGCGGATGCAGGATGCACTGCTGCTGACGTGCGGCTTGAAATCCGGCAGATGCGCAGAGACGGAGGGTGTGACCGGGTTTAGTAAGGCATGACGTTAGTACTTGGGACGGTAGCCCAAAATAACCTATATGCACCATGGCAGGATGGAGATGTATGTAAGAGACTCTAAAATGCATAGAGATGATGAGAGGCGGCGGAGAGGGAAGGCGACAAACCAACCTTGGCGAGATATCGCATCCTTGCTGCATGAAGGCACCCAGCGAGAACCACAGGCTATTAAAAATGCCAAAGTCGTTGGGCGGGTCGGGGGGGCTCTGAGGGTCTTTGGCCTCATCGTTCTCATCCAGATGCCACTCGTAAGGACTGAATCGGCTCACCAGGAACAGCACCACGCTCACGCCGATATAGGCGAACACTATACACATCCAAATCTCATAGGCCAGCGGGTCCAGGAAGGAAAAAACACCAGGCTTGGACTTTTGAGGCTTCTTTATCATAATGGAGATGCCCAAGCTCATAAAGGGCTTGGAGAAGTCTATCACTTCTTCTCGTACCAACGTTATAGTGAGAGGAGCCACTGCTATGTCAGCTCTCTGTGGAAGCGGGAACAGGCACAGTGGATTAGAGCAAACGATAAGACACTCAACGTGATATTGACGTTGCACTCGACTAATAAACAGGCCCGGAGAAGGTAATCTGGACACCTGGGCGACTCCCCAGTTGGCTGTGTTGCTGTATGAATTGCTCGGGGCCAGAATAATTTCCTCCGGCTAGCGGCTCTGTTTTGAAATCAGCGTTCGCAGAATTTACGGTAAATTTATTACCACCCTTCTCGTACAAATGTACTACCAACGCATTCATTGATACCGGCAGGCCGTTGTACCCCCAAGTCGCTATAATTTAAGAACTAAAGTAGCAGTAATTCAATACGCAACTGCAAACACCACTGAAACTATATTACCCCCCGTCTGTACAAAATAACATATTCAAGCGGCATGACATCGTCATACTTGTAACTGCAGCAAAGCATGCTGGGAGATGTTAAAGTTAGTGTCAGTCTGCACTCGGAGTGGTGTGAATAGCACTGACAGGAAGTGTTGTGTTAGCTGATGAAATGTGCCTCGATAAGTGTTCGGTGTCTTATCTCGCGTTATTTCCTCTTCCCTATTCATCTTTTTTAATCAAATACATCATCAATATTGACGTCGCAGGGATTGGTAAACTATTTTAGACCGATACGATAATAAGGATGAAACTGTAACTCTTCAGATAAACAAAGTGCAACGGTCTGAGCCATGAAACTCCAGGGCTGCAAATAAGTTGCACGCCAGCCCCGCTAATGAGCAAGCACGCATCGGCAACTTTAATGGCAATTCATGCATAAAGCAGTTTGGAGAAATGCGGGAGCTTAGAACATTCTACAAATAACTAGAGAAAAGATCTCTCTGGGTGGGATTAGTCACCAGCATTTTGTGTTGGTTGGTGTCTTTGTCTCGATCCAACTCCGCATTATGAATCAAGTAAGAGGGTTGGAAGACAGGGGTGGAGGAGCTTATGTGGGCAGTCCTTGAAATATGAATCAGCCTTTAGCTTCACCTCTACTCGAACCCCCGGCAATCACACTTACACGTTTTACACAACGCGAGCGGTGGAAGCTACACAAAAGCATTCACATCTCGTTTTCAAGTCCAAGCCGTGGCAGCTTAGAGTTGCCCTTCGTATTATAAATTGTGTTACTTTCAGAAGTGCAGCGTGCTCTGCTAAAGAATCATTGACTTGCATTGATGCCTTACTTCAGCATCCTTCACATGGCTGGCAAAGCATTTTTGTCTAATTCTCATATGCTGGCTTTTACTTCATATTCAGCAGGCCACAATCTTTTCAAAGAAAATTCAGCAACAACATTTTGGCAATTTTGCAATGATCAGAAGAGTGCTTTGTTTCACATGCACACATTCAAGTGGAACATCTCGAGACTGAATGACATTGAAGTACACAGTTCATGAATGCTAAAATGTTACATTTCCCGTTTCACCCCTGGAACAGATTATTTCCATTATTTGCACTTTGGTGAGCATTCAAGACCAATTTGGTCAAATTTAGCGGTCCTAATTTTCAATCCAAGTTGAGGATAAAACAATGTTTCCCAGCCGAGGCAATTGTTTGAGATGAGAAAAAAATCTCACGGAACGCCATCAAACAAAACCCCACAAAAAGTATATATGTATACTGAAATAACGGAATGCAAATTTTCTGTTTTATGAATGCTAACACATATATACAGAGATTAATTGTAGCATTTTTTTTTGTTCCGCCTATCACTGGTGTCGACAGATGAAGAAATACATATTTCGTAATCAGCAAATAATAATTTATGACTGAATTAAATTAAACTAGATCATTTCCTGATGATCCCTGATAGCACCTTCAAGTGCCCCGACACAGTCGTTGGGAATCACCGCGCTAAAATAGTCGAGTACATTGAACTGATACTTACCCCATAAACCAGTTCACCCACCATCCCGTTCCACGTCTTGGTCTCTGGATCTCGAGCTCCGTACTTCCCATCCGGAACAACCGAGAGCTTATATTTTATCCCCACGTGCTTTGCAATTTCGGACGCTAAATCGACACAGTAGCCTTCATATCGGTCATTCCCGTCCAGCTGCATATAGTTTTTCTTGTACATCACATATGGCGCTTCCTGTTAATCAGACACAGTTTGAGTTGACGGTAAAAAAAAAAAAACAAAAAAAATCACACACGGTTGGACCTCAGCGGTCACACAGAGGCATGCACGCATGCTGCAGGGGCGACAGCAAGCCAGCACACACACACACACACACACACACACACACACACACACACACGCACACACACGGTGGACAAAAATCACACAGCATCGCTTTCCAGCCACGCAACGTGTGGAGGGGTGAGGGGAGGATGGTCAACACACATCAAAATAAAGCGGGCCGCTGCTGCAGTAAAGAGGCCAAATGGGCCAGCAGAAAGAGTAGCGCACAAAGCAGGACATCAAGGGGTCCCTCATACGAACCTCGTACTAGAGCTACAACTTAGTGGGAGGGCGGGGTTTGGTCAGCATGGCACATGTGGGGGTGGGGGGTGG